AGAATTCCGTCTTCGATATATTCACATGTTGCCGAGCTTAAATCGATTCCAAAAGCCTTTAATTTAAATTTAAATCAATAATTTAAATCAAAATTATTCATGTAAATTTTTTAAACAATCTTTGTCTAATATAGTTCTTATAATTTAAAATAAAAAATAAATTACATATTGCTTTATATTTTAAAAAATTTCAGAAATATATTTTAAGCAATACACTTTAAACTGTAGTTGTACATTCTTATTAGATTTTTTTCTTTAAAAAAATCTAACAAAAGAGATAATACAGAATTTATTTTTAACATTTTTTTTTAAATAGAGAAAGATGAAAAAGTTTTTTCGGTGCTATTGATTATGACAATATAATACGAGAAAATCATTATAGATCATTACCGCAATCCGATAACTAAAAATCAAAGTTTCAATAAAGTTTAAAACAATTGGAATTATTGTGCGTTCGCGCGCATTGACGTATCGGCGAGCGAGTCGTCGAGTCTCGGCCGGCGTCGAGGACATTCGGCAATCCTCGGCGGCACTCGGCATTGTGTTGTCGGCGTCGCCGGCCGCTCGCCTCGGTCGCGCTCGTTCATCAGTACGCTGATCGGTGTCTTCTTGCGTTCGTCGTCGTCGTGAGTTTCCGTTGCCAACGCGCACGCTCGAACGCGCTCTAAATTTTGAAGACGCGAACGGTGCCGGAGTCTGTTTTGACCGTGTTCTGACGTGGATATCAACGATGCGATAGCCTCCAGGGGAAAAGTAACGTGATCCATCCATCGCGCGAGCCATCGAGAGGAACACCGAGAGAACGAGAGCACGGAGAGTCGATTCTTCCATTCGTCATGCTTTCGCGACGTTCGTCGATTCGCGTCCTGAAAATGGTAATCTCGATCAGTGAATGAACATCGATAATCTTCCATTGATTCGTTTTATGTCGATTTTTGCACAATGAATGCATGATCTCGCTCTAATACCGCTCGTCCGTAATTGCATCGCGATTGCGTGGAAGAAGGCCTCGGGAAGTGCCGCGGCTGCCCGATCGTCGATCTGCGTTTCTGATCGTCGATTTAATTCCGTACGCGAGCCGCCACGGGGCAACCGCACGCGGCGTTCTTCGGTCCTTTGTATTTTTAGTGATATTGGCACGGCGATTATAACGGCGCCGGTATTGGCAACGGCGACCGCGTGGACGATGGTATCAACCCGACAATGCCTTTATAGTTTACCACGCGAAAATGTAAACGCGTTCGCACGGCCTCCTTTGTATGCACTCTGGCTTGTTCTGGCTTGCCGCGAATCCCGACCGAAATCCGCCTCGCTTCTATGTTTGTCCTCCGCGGCCGATTTGCCGCCGTCTAGGCGGCGAGGTTACGTATATCGTAATTGTTGTATGTTGGCATTACCAGCAGTGGCGTAATCGGCCGCACGGGTCAAAGTGCCGATGTCAGGGTGTCCCGGGTGATACCGAGGAAATAAGAGGAGCAGCAAGCAGGAAGAAGGCAGAAAGAAAAAAAAGGTGTTACAGATCGATTAGGTTTATCATTCAAACACGATGATATACTTTGTCTAATGCTCTGCATTGCCCTTTGACGACTCGTTTTATATATATATATATATATATTCTATTAGTAAAATCGTCATTGAATTTGTAGTAAAAAAATAAAATGAGATATCTAAAAAAATCAAGAGAACACTTTCAAGTTTTTCTAAAAAAAATGAAACAATTTATGTTAAAAAGGTACATGTGAACTTATATAACAAATGTAAAATTTATATAAAATATAATTTATATGAAATATGCATTTTTTTTCTGTATAAAAATAATATTTAATAAAATTTATCACGTTTATTTGATTTTTAACCATAAATGAATATGAATATTTTTACATAATGTTTGTATGGCGGAAAAATATGTATGTGTTCATTGAAAGTCGTATAAATAACTTTTACACTTTTACTCATATAATTTTATATATTCTTCATTGAACGAGGAGATTAGGATGTCGATTACGTCACTGCGTATAATGGCGACAGAGTAGGATGCAGGATACTAAGGGCGATTATCATTAGCAATACCAGAGACGCGATATATAAGCCGCTTTAAATGAATCAGCGTTTAAAATTCTAATCCCTCGGGCGATAAAACGTATTTGTAAATACTATTACACTATCTGGATGTGTAACTCTCATGGAACGAGAGATGACTAAACGGAGAACGTGAAGTCGTTACATATAACGTCAAATTTTTTTCTTTTATCTTCTCTTATTTTTCTTCTACCTATTTGTCTCAAAATAGGCACGCAAGTCTCTAAGAAAAATGTAAAGAAAATGTAAAAACTTTGAGAAAAATGCTATTAATGACAAAATTAAAATTTATTTATACAAATTTATTTATATTATATAATTATATTTATTTATTTATATTTAAATTATATTTATATATTATTCTTTATTTATATTGATTATAGATAAAAAGTTGGAATAGTTTGATTCGATTAGCTATTCATTGATTGCCATCGCGAAACTTTCGCAAATATTGACAATCAATATTTAAATAACTGAAAAAAAGAAGAGAAAAATTTACTTCAAGCTTCTCAAAGTTTAGTTTCATAAAAGATGAGATCTCTATTCCGCTCGCAAAAAGTTGGTTTCTTCTCTATTTGCATGCAATAATTTGCTCTCTACTTTCACACAGAGGGGTCTCTATTTTCAAGATTCAAGAAATGAACAAGATAAAAAGAAAAATAGAAAAACGCGATGGAGGAAGAAAACGTAAAAGATGTCTGTTATATTTGGTGTCGGAGCAAATTATATTTAAAGAGTAAGAGTAAGTTAAGAGAAACGCGGCATGGTTACGTCGAGATTCCGATTATTCTCTGCTCCAAGTCATTCTCATTCTCCGAGATCGGTGATCTTTTTCAATCACCATTTGACCCAGACCGCTTTCCGAGCTCGGCGAGCGTGCATTACATTTTTTAACCTTGCGCTTGTGTTACAAGATCACATGTGACATACATGGCGACGAACGTATTAATTCGCCATCGGTCTCTATCGCTCGGCGGATTTTCGATCGGCCGCTGCGATCTACACGATCGTCGACACGCGGATGGCTCGCGCGAGCCGTTCAATTGGCGTTCGTTAAAGCAAATTAAGCGGCATGTCGCGTTTCGCGACAAATCTCTCGCGCCATCGTCGCCATCTTTCATCCGTATAAATTTTGTAAAAAAAAAAAAAATTTAATTTTAATTCTTTTTATGGCAACCTCGGCAATTTTCTTGTGCGACGAGGACATATTTATGTAAGTGTAAGTTGTAACGGCAGATCGTTCGATCGTTACAAACAAACACGTACGATCATTAGAAAATCTTTATTTAAAGAGAAATATATTTCGATGCTTCGAGAATTCGAGGTCTGACACAGCGGACGAAATTAACGATTGCAAACTGGCGGATGAATCAAGGACATGCGGTTCTAATTACATTCCTTGGCGCGTTATAAAGTGTTAGGATATTTCGGTGTTTTGCGGCGCTTTAATCTTACTGCGCATCTTATTCACCGTATTAAATTGATGTCGCGTGAAATCGGAAACGGGAGGATTCTGAAGTTTGTTGTCACTCGCACGTTGACAGCGTGGAAATAATGACACAGGGAGTTTTTTCACTTCATTCCGTTTAACGCGTTGTTGTACATACGTCGTTAAAGATTACCGCGGTGCTTAGAGAAGTGAAGACGGGAGTAGATCAAGATTAATGTGATCTAAAATGAAGTGAGAAATTCCCGAACCTCTTTACTTGGGGAGCACTACTTCTGTCGTCGGTGTAAAGTCGAGAGATGATATATAAAAAACAAGAAATGTGATAAATATACATAAAGAGCAATGCATGTATTTATGCGCATTACAACACACATATAATTACACAAGAGATTATACCAAATGCAGAATATGTAACGTAATTTCCAACACTTAACGCCTACTAAAATTACGACGCTTTTTTAATTACTAAAATGTGAGCAATGTATCTACTTGGAAAAATCTGGAGAACCTGAAATTTGTTTATGCTATATAATTTTTTGTTTATAGTTTTCGAAAGTAAAGTTTGAAAATTTTATACAATATAAAATATTTGTTTTGGAGTCCTTAGAGTTTTTTTTTAATTTTTCAAATTTAATTGAATCTTTAGTGAAGGAACTTTGCACAATAAATATATATTTGTTTGTAAAATACATTTAAAAATACTTTCATTTCACCTGAAATTTTTAACAAATTGTAAAAAATTAGGAAATTTTTTTTTTCAGGTTTGAGTAGCATCCTCAGTTGAGGAAGGAGAAAAACGTATTTATACCCATTTTTGTCTAATGTATTTCCACGTATTTTTACGTATTTCTATCTAGAAAAAGATATGAATAAAAATGTTAGCTCCTAATTTTCGCATCCTGAGTCAATAAACTTGGACATTATTGTGCTTTTATCTTTATCCTCGAATGACCGCTCCTCTATTTTTACACGAGAACATGACGTGTGAACATTGTTTTTTCATCGATTCCGGTTTTTGCAGCTCCGGACCGAGCCGTGCAAGGATCAAGCCTGATGTCCGTATGGTCGACCAGCACCGGGCGCAATTCACTGTTTGGCGCGGAGAGCGGGGGCGCGAGGCTCCCCACTTCGCATTTGCCAACCCACGTACACGTGGCGCACGAACACCTGCGCAACGCTGACGGCCACTGCTTTCACAAGCCGTTCCACGATCACTGTCAGGTCGGTAGACTGTCCCAACTGATCCTCCTCCGCGGCAGCAGAGATCCTTTTCTCTTCATCCCGCTCCGCGAGACACGCCTGCATGTCGTACACACGCGCTCCCTCCTCCCTCCCCCCTCCTCCCTCCCTCCCCCGCTTCGTTTTTTTGCTTGCTGCTGCTGCTGCTGCTGCTGTCTTTATCTCCTTACATCACTTTCCGTTGTGTCACTACTAATCTCTGTGAAAAAAGTAGTAACTTTTTTTTTTTAAATCTTTTTTACAGGAAAAATACTTTGTTGTTAACTTTCTTTTCCTCTCATCATTATATTTGAAATAACGTATAAATCTCATCAATTTATAAATTTTTACAAATTTAATTATTGTATAATTGCAAATGTGTATATAAGAGTAGAGCAGAATCAAGATTAAGTAATTTATATACGTGTACCTGATAAAAAAAAATTTTATTCCCTTTTCGAGATATTTCGATGCGTTACGGGGAAACTGAAGTGTTCAGTAGTAAAATCACGTAGCAGAAAAAAATCTTAAAAATATATATATTAGATTTCTCACAATTGTAGAACATACGTAGAACATACGTACACTGTATTCATTAAGTAATAATAATAGATTCGTTTTCTTCGTATTTGTAACAAAACAATGTCTTTAACACGAAAATTTTTAAAATAGAATTTGAGAACAGTATAAATCATCAGTCTTTTTTATAATACTGATTACATGTTAACTAAATTTCGATAATGTTTATTTAATAAGACATTTATATTAGAATATTAAAAAAGAAATATAAAATTGGTTCTTTATTCGACATCCAATGTCGATGTAATTAAACTTTTAATACTCTTGTACTTATAATCGCCGCGTATTATTCGAGCATGCGATCGATCGATTGACTTTTTCAAATTCTCTCCACTCAGGGATTATACATTATTTTTTTTTTTTTTTTTTTTTTGAACGCTGCTTACATCTGATTTTCAGTGCGCAATTAGTCGCATATTCTTCAGTGCTTCATTCTGCATGTGTTACGTACTGATAATTATCCGGATGTCGTTCGTAACGATAACGTCGTAACATCGTACTTCCCATTTTTTTTCTTATTTGCATGCTGCGAAGGCCGAATTTTTCCTCAATTTACGGCGAACTAGTTTTATCAAACGAGTAGAACGACCGATAAACTCCAGACAATTCGAGTGTGCGATGTGGGTTTCAGATTGAGTTAGTTTACTGTTTTTGTCACAAATGAAAGAATGCATTTAGCCTTTTCAGTACCACCATGTGTCAAGATCGCCTGTGAAATTATTGCAATTAAAAGTATATAATTAGACAAATGCGCGCATTTACAGATGTGACGTAAGTTTGCGATGTTTTCATGCATGCTCATTTCTTTTATTTAATGTCGACATGCCGAACGTGCGTTTTTTGCCATATATGCTGATTACGCGTTCATAATCACCTGTTCCACATTGTTCGCGGGAAAAAAAGAGATGATAATTCGTGTGCCGTATGCACACTTTCGAGGAGTGCAGACTCGAACAGATGTTCGAAAGTGCTGCCTTGCGTATATCAAGTTGTCGAAATACACAGACATCTGACATCGAATATATCTCTGTAGTAGCTAAATAAACAAAAGACTGGTATCGTATGACAAACGTGTCCCTTTCTCACTCGTCAGTCACTATTTTCAACGCGCATCGAGATGTAAACTGATTCAGCGACTTGTATTTTATTAACGTTGGAGAAGGAAGAATTGTTATTTAATTGCGTATTTTATTCACTCGTGTTTATCAACGTCGAATATTTAAATGTCAATCGTCGGGCTTGGATACGAAAATACGAAAATCCGCGCGAAGGCCCGAGAATATTTCGGAGGCGCTCATTTCAAGGCACGTTGCATCTCGTTGGTAGCCGGTTGGTTTGCTTGTAGACGCCGCGCCATTTTGTATTTCTCGGACATTCGGAAACGCATATCCGAACGCTTCTCCACCTCCGCGTTACGTATTTTTTCACTATTTTATTTAAGGTGCCCATCGAAATTTCTGGTCTCGAGAAGAGAACCTCCAGCGCGAGGATCATGGCTTAAGTCGAGCGACGCGGATGTGAAGCATCTCGCCACACGACGACGCAAAATTTCTCGTGCTAATGCATGCATCAGCATAAGTGCCTCCCTGAAACGCACGCGAGTGTCCTCCACGTGCGTGCACGAGCTCGTTGCGCTCGCGTGGTATGCGTGCGCGTGTGTATGTGCGCTTGTGTGTATCTCCTCTTCCTCACGCTCGCCAGGCTTACCGCAAAAGACGCACGCCAGTCGATCTCATAGCCGTAACGCATCGGCCGCCGGCGCACCTCTCTACGTTTCTACGTTTCTCATTAATCTTCCTTATTATTTGTTTCGTTCAGCACCCATTGGTTTTTTGTTCCACTACCGCGGGACTTTTGGCAGGTTCTCCTCCCGCTGGCACCGACGTTGCCATCGATCTCCGGTACGTTGCCCTCTCTTTTCTTACTCGTGCTTACAAGCTTCCAGTTTACACGCCCCGTGAGATCGCAAGATCGCGTTATATCGCAGGCGCTTTAGTGTCCCTTTCCTCCCCCCCCCGTCCCGCCCCCCGTTGTCGTTCCTCGGTGAGAGGGACCTACAGCGATCGCGTATCTCCTCCTATACACGTGTGTTTCGCGCCCTTCCGTTCAGCCCGAACTAATCTGTCATCTTCGCGTTCGTTCTGTTCGCCAGTCGACGATGTCGCAAGTGGGGGATGGCCTTCATACGCCGGGTTACTTGTCCTGGAGAAAACTGCAGCTGAGCCGCGCGAAGCTCAAGGCGTCTAGCAAAACGTCAGCTCTGCTCTCCGGCTTCGCTATGGTAAGAGAACGTCGTTTATGCGAGAACGAACTGGTCTTTTCTCAGACCAGTTAATCAAAGCTCGGAGAGCCTTTTGTATTATTCATAAATTCACGCGCATTTTCCGCGAATTTATTAATCGGTCAATTAATCGAGACAATGGAATGGAACATAATTTTAAAGTTGTAATAGAATCCGTCGTTCGATTTTGTTTATTATTATACAGAGAAAAAAAAAATCCCCTGTGAAAGGCAGAATTTTGAAGGCGATCTGCATTAAATGAGTTTACACGAAAATTTAAACATTTGTCTCGCGAATATCGCGCAAATGGAAAATTATTAGCTTAACAGTAGCTTCGATTATATTTTTCAATTTTATTACTTTCTGATCACGAGTTTTTATGCGGTAAATGTCACCGCGTCTTATTTTTAAATGGAGTCTTTCGCATTTATTAAATGATGATATCAAATGATAATTTACACTCGTCGACGATTCAAATGCGTCAAGGCTATAATATTTTCCGAGGCTGCACAAAGATCGATCGCTGTTCGCAGGTCGCCATGGTGGAGGTGCAGTTGAATTCCGACACGAAGGTCCCGCCGGAGATGCTGATCGCCTTCGCCGTGTGCACGACTCTCTTGGTGGCCGTGCACATGCTGGCGCTGATGATATCCACGTGCATACTGCCGAACATCGAGGCCGTCTGCAATCTACACAGCATAAGCCTGGTGCACGAGTCGCCGCACGAGCGTCTGCATTGGTACATCGAGATCGCGTGGGCCTTCTCCACGCTGCTGGGCCTCCTTCTGTTCCTGCTGGAGATCGCGATACTCTGCTGGGTGAAGTTCTACGACTTCTCGCAGGTGGCCGCCTGGTCGGCCTGCATAGTCCTGGTACCGGTGCTGATAATCTTCCTCGCGTTCGCGATACACTTCTATCGGAGCCTGGTCGCGCACAAGTACGAGGTCACCGTGTCCGGCATACGGGAACTCGAGTTACTTAAGGAGCAGATCGAATCCACGGACATGGAAGGCGGCAGGAACGGCGTGAATCTCCTGCAGACCGGGGTGACGCATATCGTTTGAATCGGTCAGCCCGATCCTTCCTGTCACCGGGAGGGGGGGGGGTCGCCGGAGGGATTCGCGAATCGAAGTACAAGAAGAAGAATTTCCGCTCCGCGGAATGCGAGAGGGAGAGAAAGAGAGAGAGAGAGGCAGTGATCTTTTTCATGACGACGGAAACGAGTGCTGTTTTTTCTTTTTCGGAGGATTCTGCCAGGAACGAGTCTTCCGAGCGTGAGGCGCTCGAGGAACATGACACGTAGACGACCGGCTTCTTCGTACACGCGCTACGTGTGCAAAGATTCGATCAACGGATAAGATCTTCCTTTTCCCTCTTTTTTTTATACGCGTGTTCTCTGTGATGTAAATTAAGTGTAAGCGCGACGGGACTCCGCTCGTCCGCACGATGCCGCGCGAAACGAAAGCATTGTGTCAGTTTTTGGGAAGGAGACGAAGTTCGATGACATCGTATTATGTATGTAGATACGAAACACATTCCTTCATTCGTGTTGCGACTTAACACGGTAGGAAAAATAATATGACTTAAGGATATTAAGCGACACCCGCGTGTATCGCCATGTACCGCTCGAGAAAAGTGATAGTACAATAGCCGGAATTTTGCCTTTATATCGAGAGGTAACAACACGACTGGCTTACATACTCGAATGTACTTATCTTTCGAAAAACGTGCTTATCCAAGAAACGCGACCGACGTTTACATCTCTTAAGTGTTTCGTCGTTACGTCGGGCATATATTAATAACGATACACGTGAAATATACGGCGTTCTGCTACACGCCGTACGAAAGTTGATTTTTTTTTTTTTTTTTTTTTAAGGAGACATTTAATGACAGTAATTTCTCTTATTGTTCTTCAACGCGCAAGTACATTATTCTCAAGTATATACATTACGACTGCCGTAAAAATAAGAAACGGAATGTCAGGTAGCGGTGACTTGGATGTACATAATGTTACTCGGGACATTATATTTCTATGATCGCGAATAAAAGTCGGGAAAGTATGTGTTCGATTCTGATCTGTAGATATACTTTTCGGCTTCGCACGCCGATAGGAGCGATTGCCAAAATAAAAAAAGGTCGTACGTACGAAGTCATACATACGTATTACATTTTTTCCGTTCGCCGCAAAATACAGGGAAGGCCAGTAATGTGAAACATGCATGTTCAAATCGATCTGAGAGGACGTAAATGAGACGTGACGCAATGCGCTTATAAGTGTAGCGCTGCTCGATCATTTATCCTTGGAATGTGTAATGGATGTAAGGCTGGCTGTCGTTAGTCGGCGATCCTCAATCGTGCTGTTCACGCAGACGTCATTCTCCCAACAACCCTTCTGCACTTGTTGACTGTCCAAGTGATGGAAGACACCCAGACCTTCCTTCTTGCCATTTGCAAACTGACCCTCGTAAAAGTTACCGTTTTCTATGAGGATTTTAAAAAATAAATATTGAACATGAGATTTCTAATGTGAAAGTAAGAAAACACATTTTGAGTGAAAGGATCTCTTGGCATGATCATGACATTGATCATGACATCATGACTCATCGGTGTGCTTCAGAGACTCATCAACTTTCGCGAGTGTCAAAAAAAAATCAAAGCGACCGCTAAGAAAAACGTAATCGCTTTTCGTTCTGTGTAATACACAGTTAAAAAGAAGTGAACGGACACTTTCGAACGGATTCATTCTAACATTCAAACATTTCCGTAAATTTAAAATATTGTACATTGTATCTATTTCTTTCTCTTTTTGGATCGATAGAGGATAACCTTGAACGAGCATTCCTTCTCCGTGGTAACGATCGTTCAGCCACATGCCCTGGTAGTATCCGCTGCCGCATTTGTACCAAATTCGGCCGTAACCATTTCGTTCGTTTTCTCGAAATGCGCCTTCGTAGTAGCTGCCGTCCTTGTACCAATTGCTTCCGAATCCGTGTCTCTTTCCCCGTATCCAGTCGCCGGCGTATACCTTGCGCACGTTACCGTCTTCCGTAATTTTACTTAGGACGCCGTAACCGTGTCTCAGATCATTGTGCCAGTCGCCTTCGTACATCCAGCCATCGCTGCGAAGAAACGTTTCTAACTAGCGAACGAAATATCGGCAGCTTGGATGTACATAATCTCGGATAATGAGATTTGTATATATAGCAATATTCAACATATATTCCATCATAATTTCAGGTTTATAATGTTAAATTGATATCTGACAGACGTATCTATTCTCTTATAATATTGATATACTCGATCGAGTTAAAAAACTTAGGTAAAATAAAAAATTGACGAACGAAAACGGTTCTTTGACGTCTCAGAATGTCAATGGTCAATCTTCAAAATTTATAGTTTTATTTATAGTTTCTAATTTTTTTTTTTTTTTAAGAAAATCTTTACAATTGTGCAATTAATATAAAAATTTTTAAATTTAGTGTTTTATTTCCTTCTATATATTTATTATAATTTTACATAATAATTGGAATTTTAATTAAAACGTGAATGTTTTATGTTTGATTAAATTAGGAAAAAATAAAATAATGACGTTTAGGTCGGAGATGTAAAAATATTAAATGTAGCAAAAAAAAATGTTGAAATAAGCGTTTCAGATTGAGAGGAATATTCAGGGAACAAGGAATAATTTTCATGATACCTGCTGATTCCTATGCCTTTGCCCTCCCTTTTATCATTTCTCCATTCGCCCTTGTAATGCGCTTTGGCAATACGTTTTGTCTCAGGCGAGTATATAGCGTGTCGCCAACCATTTCGTTTACAGGATTCTATTCGTAGTTCGCACCACGTAGCTCTCTGAGGTTTCAAGAACGGCATTGCCGTCTGCCGAATGTCCGCGAAGAAAACATTTCAATTTGCCATTCCGCGAACAATCGGCAGTCTCCAGGAATCGAGGCGATACCGCCTAATTCACGTAGCATGACGCGTTATATTGTGGCAAAAAAGAAAAGGACTTGCACTTATATTTTGCAATTTTGAAAACAAGTTCCTGATAGATATATATGCAGCTAAGGATGTATACTTTTGAACTTTTTATGTCTTGTATATAACATAAAGAATATAAGCAATATTGTTGATTGATACTTGCATCTATAAATTGGGTCAAAAACTTTCCTGGTTTCATTCGATACATACACTTTTTTGTATTCTTTTTTATTTTATATTTTGTGACGCTGAAAATTTTTAATACAAGTTTTTATTAAAATTTGAAATTATTTTATTTATTTTTTTTATATTTCGTATTTTAATCCTATTTTTACATTTAGCAGCTCTATTAATTTCAAATAATTAAACTCGACACATTTTTACTTTAAAAACTAGAAAAAGATAACAGAGAACATTTCTGGGTTTTAGCTGTATAGAAAAGAGTAAGTTAAATTGAAATTAATTTACATTGGTAGAAATGGATAAAAAGAATTAATTAAAACAATAGTAGATTAGTAAGAATTAATTAAAACAATAAGTAGATATATTAAGGATTACGTCTATTTTTACCAATGTCTTAATTTTCAGCATAATTACCCTTCATTTTTTCTAATTCTTATAACTAAAAAAAGATAAACTAAAGATAAAAATTAATTTACATTGATAGAAATTGAAAATAAAAGTTAAAAAAAAGTAGATAGTAGCTCATACAATCGATTAAATTAATCGATTAATGTTGATCAGAGTGTCGCGCAAAACGTCTGTGCTGTCTGCGCCACTGCGCATGCGCGGGACTCCGCTGTAAACACCAATTGCTGCTTCGTCAACACACTGACGTACCAACACAGGGCTACCGCTCTATAATAAAGGAAATCCGTGCATCGATAATCTTTTCGTCGAGGAGCGGATCGAGCGCGAAAATCTCGGAGCATCGCGGTCCCACGTGTCACGTGTCTACGATGAACAGCGATGTCCGCGTGTTCGACGTGAATATGGACGCAGATCCTTTGAATTCTACGATCACGCTCGAAGATTCGGAGACGGAAGTGATCGAGTTAGATGCGAGTTGCGATGCGGACATCATTTGTTTGGACAATGAAAATCAGATCTATGATACGGGGAAGAGCAGTGTCGATCGCATCTCGTCCCCGGATGAGATCGAAGTGACCAAGGTGATGGCCGGTTCGCGGAGAAAACGTTCACGATCCCCTAGTTCGGGCGGCGTCGCTTCGCAGCCCGTTTTTAAGGTTATGTTTCGCGATGAGAATGTCTCGAGGTATGTCTCATGGAACGCGTTGTTTTTTTTTTTTTTTGGAGTCTTGACATTTCGTAATCTCTTGAAATGAATCGAGTAAATAAAATAGAAAGTTGGAAAGAAAGAGATAAGTGAAAAGAGTCGAGCTATAAGAAAAACATATCTTGTGTGTCCTATACTTTGTTTACAAAACAAAGTGGGAACTCGTTTCGCCTAGTTAATTTTGCATGGCATTGTGTACCGAAATGTAAATTGTAGAAATAAACGTTTTCTTGTATTTTTCATAAAAATATGCGAGTTAAGTCATTGCATATAAGCAATATTAATGCAAATATTGATGCAATGGATATGATTTAATTTGTTATATTGAATATTGAATATTTAGATGGAAGTTATATTCATTATATTGAATTATTCACGAATATATTATGAACTTTCATGTATTTGTAGGCAATATCGGCAACAAATAAAAGATTTTCTGCACAATTTAGTGCAGTCAAAACCTTCTTTCAAGAAAGATACAAATGAATCAAGTCTGATTTTAGAAGTTTGGGATGACAAAGATAATTTCAAAGAATCACCTGCTAGTCCAGAAAACAAGAATGCGAATGAAAGTGTAGAATGTAATAATATTTGTGATTCTTTGTTTACAATTGATAAACAACCAAATGCAAAGAATGACTTGGATGTGCCGACTTATGGACAGGTAACATTGTCTTTCCTTTATACAGTCATTTTTTATTTGATTTGTTATTGTGTCTACAGACTATATTATATAAAATGTTATAAGATACATTGAGGAATATTGTAAATTTTTTATACATCTTACTCTAATTTAGAAGTAAATGTCATCAATGTTTCATATTTCTCATTTCTTTATTCTTAACAATCTTTCATTTTAGAAATATGAGAATGCATTTGAAGAATCAAAGCGTGAACAACCAAAAGATTGCGCACCAAAATTAAATTGTTTCAATTGTAATGGAAACCATAATATGCGAGATTGTCCATTGCCTAAAAATCAGAGTAATATTAATAAAAATCGTAAAGAGTTTGCTACAAAACACAATATGGGTGTTCGATATCATATGAACGAAGATCAAAGATTTAGTCACATGGTCCCTGGTCATTTAAGTCAAAAACTGCGAAAAGCTCTTGGATTGAAAGAGAATGAACTGCCGAAACATATATATAGGTATTACATAAATCCACTATATAACATAACGAGTTTTGAAAAAAAATGTTTCTTCCTATTCTTCAGTTGGTATATTCACAGCTTTTTCTTTATATATATTAGTAATAATTTTTTAAAAATTTTTACTGTTTTTAAGTTAATCTGATTTTTGCGAGTTTTTTTTTGTTGTATTACAAATATAAGTGCAAATACAAGTGTACAAAATTAGATATTAAAGTAAAATAAAGAAGGAAAAATTTATAATTTGAAATTTAATGGGCCAATGAGGTTCATTCTACGTGCCAAAACATGTTTTTTCTTAGAATGAGATTACTTGGCTACCCTCCAGGATGGTTAGAAGAGGCGCGCCTACAACATTCTGGTTTATCGCTCTTCAATTCTGATGGAGTAGCAGAAAGTGATATAAATGAAGAAGAAGGTGAAATCATCACAGACATAGATAGAGATCAATATGACATAAAAAAAATATATGACTTCCCTGGTTTTAATATTCCGCCTCCTCCTGGTACTATAGATGTAAGCAATATACAGTAAAATAACCGATGTTGATACATCAAAATGATTTTACATATTACATTTTTTTCAGGAAGCTGTAAATGATAAAATTAATCGATTTCAAAATAGCCACATGCATTGGGTACCAAAAATGCAACATGTGCATAGCAAAGAGATGATGTTATTACACTTGCAAGGTAAAGAAGCAGACGATGGTTACAAGCGGAAAAAATTAAAAATGTCTACATCAATTGTACATAATAATACAGAAGCAGTTAGTGACATGGAAATAGAAGATACAGAAGGTATAATCATTAATTACAATAATTAAACATTTGTCATTTTTCATTTAATCTTTATTAGAAAGTTAATCGTTATAGGAAACAAAAGAAAATTATCTTAATATTAAATTCATACTATCGAGCTATTTATTCACACCAATGTTCATATTATTTGTACTTATTTTTATTCTCTTTTTTTAAAAGATAACTTCTTTTTATTTCATTAAAATAGAAAATGTTGTGGAGAGCGTATCTATTAATGGGCATTTTGTACCACCATTACCGAAAGAATCAGTGCAGGAGATACCAGCACCGCCGCCAGAGTTACCTCAAACAATCGATGATTCTGATTCGCAATCGCAAGAATTGCCCTTCTTAGATTCTGCGGTATGTTATTAAAGAATTATTATTCTTCTTATATACCTTAATTTACAAAGATAAACTACAAGGAAATTACAAAGATTATTTTCTTTTTTCAGGATGACACAACTTCGATCACAAACTCGCCGTCCTTGTCTGAATTAGAAAGAACAAAGAAAGTATTGCTTATGGAGATTGAAGAGGCAAATTCGCAATCTAATTCCGATTCCACATCAATCAAAAATGATTTGAATACTGTGCTTGTATCGGAAACGTCATTTTCTAGTATAACGACTACGCCTTCTACTTCGAGAAGATCTTCAAGTCATAGTTCTGTGATATCAGAATCACAGTGCTGTCCTGATACGTCACTTAAAAATGATTCCAATACTACACTTACATTGGACACATCAATTACTAATAAAATATTGCAACCCGATTCTACTCCAAATCGCTCTGCTTCACGGAGAACATCGGATCAAGTCAAGTCAGTATATTTGGGTACGCCAATATTACCAAGTACCTCTCCATATAATAAACTACCATCATCAGAAAAGTTTTCCCGAGACATTTGCGATGTTATCAATTTTGAAAATTTGCCTGATTCAACGGGTAAATATGAACAAATGACGGGAGTTCTGCAAAAAGTAAGAAACACTATGGCAAAATTGCAACAACAAGAATAGACATAATTAATTTAAAGATTATGGTGTAGTTTTTAGTGCTACAAATGCTTCGAATGCTTTATAATTGATCAATTAAATAAATAAAATTGATAAAATTTATTGTTTTAATTGGTCAATCAAATGTTTTGAAACATCTATAGCATTATTATGAATCATAATCTAATATAATTTAGTAAGTACAAAATATTAACATATTCGAAAATTAGAAGAAATAGTTGGGACTATTAGAAAAAAGATGCGGGTTGAAAAATTGTTCTTCCCTGTTTTCTAACTTAATTTGAAAGAAGATATTTTCAATGACACTGATGTCTTATTATAAATGGATATTTTTGAATATCTATAAATAATTCACAAAATATCTCCAAAGATCTCAATATTTTGCAGATTAAATTGTAATTCAGTAGTAAGTGGAATTCTCTGTTTCTCTCTTGGAACTTCTCTAAAATTCTTTTTCTTCATAAAGATAATAAAAATTTTCTACCATAAAATGTCTTTAAAATGATCGTTTAAACAAATTATTTATCTTAGAATCGTTACTTAGAATCTTAGTTTTCGACATCTGCGAATTTTGAAATGAAAGTTTAAGATTACATTCTCTAAACATAAAACAATAAAAAATAAAAACAAATTTTGAAATGTTTAAAAAAATTGATATTTTTACATATATGCTTCTTTAAAAAATAAATTTCTTTTTAAATTTCTTTTGAAATAAGAATACTTTTTATTATTCTTTAACATAATTTCTCTAAATTAAAATCAAACTTAATCGAAAAAATCTTACGAGTCTCAAAATTTATATCTTTTTTATCTATTTAACTTTATTATTTGTTAAAAGATATAAATTTCCTTCCTTTACTATGCAGTCTGCATGATATGAGTCTGAGATCTTGATGAATATACATGATTAATAAAATTATATAAAAAGAATTATTTCTATAATTATAATTCAACTATCTTTTTTCATTTTTGCTTACAATAACTTGCTATATTTTCAGTTATATCATTTATAATATAAAATATAATGTAACTAATTTTTAAGAACAAAAGTTGAAATATATTGTACATAAATTCATATTGAACATTTACATATAATTGTAATTGTCTTTAATGTTCTCACAATTTATCTACACAAATTTAAAAAACTTTCTTGTAAATCTGTTATAAATTTATAAAATTGTATATATTTTACACATAATTTTTAATACATGATTACTTGGTCGTCATTCAATTTATTTAACAAAGTATATGTCATATATATATTAATTACACTATATATACATATATGTAAA